ATAAGCAGTGGATATTTCACCACTGAAGAAATCAATGTTTTGTGGGCAAAGTCTCAAATACTGTCACCTCGACTACGGCCCATGAGCTCTTACACATGGAAGTGCTGGGTCCTAAATAGCATTTCATCAAGGTAACCACAACTGTCCAATTGCCATTGTGGCGACATTCTTTCCTGTTGGAACCAGAAAATGTGGGAAATTGTCCGACAACTCCGACCCCCCCGTGGCCTGTAGTCCGCAAATACCAACCGAGTGATCACTGCTTGTCGGCGAAGTTAGTGCCAACTTTTGTGGATAGAGGGTGTCACGTGATCAGCGCAACAGATCCCCACGGCCATTGATCTCAGTTTTCTAGACCGGAGCCACTATTTCCTTGAAATAGCTCCTCAGTTATCCTCACAAGGCTGATTGGACCCTGTTGCAGACCCACTGCTTCTCAGAAAATCTAGTAGAACCTGGGACCTCTGAATCTGTAGCCAGGATCTCTGACCACTAGACCACAGTGGCGGTCAACAACTGTGACATCCAATTTTCCATTATCTCTAAATATGGGCTACCAGCGGTTTTTTCTCTTTGTAAACAAAAAAAGGGGTCATTAACCTTTGCTCATGACAAAATGCATGCTAAATACTTAACCTGCTGGACAGAAGCATGTGGCTGTTTGATACCCTAATGCCATGGTCACCTAGTTCCTTCCCCTTGTTTGGTAATTTTTTGGCAAATGGTGCATCTGAGCATTGTGATGATATGGCATTCCAAAACTTGAATGTATCACGTGTATATGTTCTTTGTGTTATCGTTCTGTCAGTTATGGCTTTTGTACAATGTTTGAAATGGCGTGCAACAATTTTAATGGCCCTGTATATTAAAGAAGTTTTGCAGTCCAGTGCAAAATGGAACATATATGTGATATAATGGGTACTGATGAGACATGTTTTTCTAGGAACAAAACAACAATGTGGAGCTGATCCTAGTGTGCAAATCCTGGTAAGTAGGTCTTCATCATCCCCACTCAGTTCTGCTCTGAAGAATTTTGTACTTCTGATCTTTCATCTGTTCAGCAGTCTACAAACTGCATAGTCTGCAGAAATTTTACTTCACAGAATTTGTACATAAAAGAGAATAATAACTGTGCTTAATTTTCTTCGGCTATACAAAGATATGATTATATATCGGGATTTGAGTTATCATGTTTATAAGTATTCCAGAGGTGTACATAAAATTACATTATTATTTAAACATTTTATTCTACATGTTTGTGACCCATTCTGGGATTATTTTATACCAGCTTAATACTTGAATGCAAAATGGATGAAATTTGCCATCATCTCCTCAACAAATAATTTGTGAATTTTGCTTGTTTAGTATTTATACATGAAATTGTATCTAAAATATTAAGTCAGATACAGACATTGTAATGGAAAATGAGAAAATTGACAGGTCTGTGGCTATTACATTTTATCTCAACAAGGATGGTATGATTCCACGTGGCTTAATTTTCTATGGATAGGAAGTTTTTTCTTTCTTTCTTTCTGTTCTCTGTTATTTTGTCATGTGTAAAGTGCATCAGATTCTGGTTTAGTGGTAAACTTAACAGACTTTCAGTATAACTAGGAGTTTAATTGTGGGTTGTAGAAATTACAGTGAAGAAACAAAATGTGTTTGTTTTATATTTTTAACTCACAATTGATTTGAACTCCGTTTTTGAGAGCAAGAAACATGTTAATCTGCGAGGACTGCGAAGAAACTTACGTTAAGAATGCAGCAGGATTGTATATTATAATGAATTTTGAAGTAAGTGTGGTGGTTACTGTTCTTACTTTTGTCAACACATGCCTGTCATGTTGGGGTACAGACTTTTGCAAAATACCAGTCATATTGGAATGGGGCAAATTGTAGATATTTGATGAAGACATTGTGTTAAGTGTATGTAATTTCATTAAAACAAGGTTTAGTGAAAATATTTGAAAGTTATTTTTAAATAATTCCAGCCATCCTTTGACACTTGATACCAACAAATCCCTTTTTATATTGTTACCCTATTCTCAAATCACCATATTGCATCACATTATTTTGCAATTTTCATGTGCAGTACAGTACAGAATTTTGTTCATATAATACAGGATGTTTGTGAAATGTGTTTCTAGTCCTGAAGTGTATGTATTTGTCTTACAACAAATATATGAAAATGTATTTACAATGACTGAAAAGTCTATGTAAGTCCCCATAACTCTCAATATCTGTGGTGACTCAGTATCCAGGCACACTCTTGACAGGTTTGTGGAAGTGTGGAGGAGGCCATCATGCTGCTGTATTGTTTCCAGTGTCATTGGTCTTGTAGGATGGGAATAATGAACTGCTCAAACATTTCCAGTCAAATACAGCCAATTCTCATCTTTCAGTGATAGGGAATGGTCTAGAAATCTTTGCTCCTGACAATGCACAAAAGAAGTTTTAAGGCTGTCACATGTTCCAAAACAGCATGCAGATTTTGAGTTCCCATATATTAACATTGTGGTAATTGATGTGGCCATATAAATCTGAATTTTCATCATTAAACAACCTTCGCAGTGAGTGGGTCATCCAGTTAAAGTTTTTGCAAGATCTCAAAGCAGAACATGTACCTACTCTCTTTGCTGTATTATATCACTTGCTTCAACAACTGGTAAAAAAGTAAAGTAAAGCTGTCCCTGTACCAGGCCTTGAAGGCCCACAGGTTTGTGAGATGTTGAGGGTCCCGCATTATCTAGACAATCGGCTCAAAGATGACGGTAAGGTTGTCAGCCTTATGTGCCGGCCGCGCTGTACTCCCCAGGAAAATTATTTAATTAATTCTTGGTACTCATTTCTGTTAGATGCTGAGTAAACCCGAGGGCCTAGTGCGGCTGGAAGGATTAGGTCAACTGAAAAAATCCAATGATCTCATCGGGACTTGAACCTGCAACTTTCCAGGTTGTAGCATAGCCCTGGTATCCGTTGAATTTAAATTTTAATATTTTCCATAAATTCATATTACACACTCTTTAGCTTCTTGAAAATAGTAAATCTTCCCTTATCAGACTTTTGTTTTCCTCATTTCCTTGTTTTAGTCTCCCAACTTTTGCATACACCAGATAGTGGTCAGTATCACAGTCAGCCCCTATAAGGAGTGAACATCAGTTATAATTAAGTATCATCTTGTTTCAAGATTTGGTCAAACTGATTGTGTCTTCCCATCATGAGAAGTCCAAGCATATGTTTCTCTTGCAATGTTAGAATGTTTTGTGTGTGTCGACTGGCAATTTATATATGTAAAACTCCCATCCCTAATTATCAGTTTCAAAATATCTTTCTTCCTACTTTTTCCTTGAAATTTCTTAGCCAAATTGTGTGTGATACATATTGAATTAGTCACATGTGCTCTCTGGTTCCTAATAAAAGCTGTCTTTCCTATCATTTTTATGCTCAGGTTGTGGTCTCCTGGGTTGTGACACCATGTGACTTTATAGGTAGGTACCAAAATTTTGGAAGAGCATATGGCCTGCATCTTCATAGTCAAAATGTGTGAGATGAAGATATACGAGTAAGCAGGCTGCAAGGAGGGGCAGTCTCATGTGAGGGGGAAGGAGATACAAGTCCAGTCTTGGCCAATAGGAAACAGTGATCAGGAAATGCAAGGGCAAGAAGCTGCTTATCCATGCATNAACTTTCCAGCTTGTAGCATAGCCCTGGTATCCGTTGAATTTAAATTTTAATATTTTCCATAAATTCATATTACACACTCTTTAGCTTCTTGAAAATAGTAAATCTTCCCTTATCAGACTTTTGTTTTCCTCATTTCCTTGTTTTAGTCTCCCAACTTTTGCATACACCAGATAGTGGTCAGTATCACAGTCAGCCCCTATAAGGAGTGAACATCAGTTATAATTAAGTATCATCTTGTTTCAAGATTTGGTCAAACTGATTGTGTCTTCCCATCATGAGAAGTCCAAGCATATGTTTCTCTTGCAATGTTAGAATGTTATGTGTGTGTCGACTGGCAATTTATATATGTAAAACTCCCATCCCTAATTATCAGTTTCAAAATATCTTTCTTCCTACTTTTTCCTTGAAATTTCTTAGCCAAATTGTGTGTGATACATATTGAATTAGTCACATGTGCTCTCTGGTTCCTAATAAAAGCTGTCTTTCCTATCATTTTTATGCTCAGGTTGTGGTCTCCTGGGTTGTGACACCATGTGACTTTATAGGTAGGTACCAAAATTTTGGAAGAGCATATGGCCTGCATCTTCATAGTCAAAATGTGTGAGATGAAGATATACGAGTAAGCAGGCTGCAAGGAGGGGCAGTCTCATGTGAGGGGGAAGGAGATACAAGTCCAGTCTTGGCCAATAGGAAACAGTGATCAGGAAATGCAAGGGCAAGAAGCTGCTTATCCATGCATATAGATCTGATTGACCACTTTCCTTGTAACCTGCCTCTATCACCTGACCACATCTTTACCCCACGCACTGCAGCCCCATAGATGTATGTAGTATGTACCGCTGAAACATTGGTATCCAACTATAAAACCACACAATGTTACAACCCAGAAGACCACAATTTGAACTTCACTATCATTAAAACCTGCTCAGTTGGAGCATTCAGATTCAGAATAATAATATAATGCCAATCAATGACCTCTTAGTATTTATGTGACATCCTGTTACTAACAAATCTTTCTTATGTATGAAAAAGCCCATTCCTAAATGATGTTTAACATGCTTTTTTCCATAGAAGAATTTATAATTGTCTGCTGTTTCAGTACTACCATTATCATATTCCAAGACATCATTGATATCCATCCATTCAGCAGTTTGTATTAAAAACGACAGTTTTTCTGATGGAGCATTTGATGCTGATAAACAGCGTTTTAAACAGTATTATGTCTCATGTTTTGTAATAATGATTAAAATTTATGAATTATAATTGGTTGTTTCAGATTTTAAGTACATACTCTGTTATGTTTTCATTTGTGTGATATGTGCTGTGCAATTCATAATATTGTTGCAGTGGTTTTTTTTTCATTGACACATTACTACAATACCAGTGAAGGTGATAGAAACTGAAAGTTGCATTAGAAACATACTTAGTATACCTATGTAGAATATCTTCGCAGCAGTAAAAATTTAGATTGTGGCCTTCTGGGTCATGACATTAGGGTATAACTGGAAGGTGGAGGCAGCAGTTTCCTCCAAAAATAAGATGTACTGTTTCAGGTATACACAGTTATGATTGTTCTGACATAGGGAAGCCTTGCATTAATNATTTTGTAATAATGATTAAAGTTTATGAATTATAATTAGTTGTTTCAGATTTTAAGTACGTACTCTGTTATGTTTTCATTTGTGTGATATGTGCTGTGAAATTCATAATATTGTTGCAGTGGTTATTTTGTCATTGACACATTACTACAATACCAGTGAAGGTGATAGAAACTGAAAGTTGCATTAGAAACATACTTAGTATACCTATGTAGAATATCTTCGCAGCAGTAAAAATTTAGATTGTGGCCTTCTGGGTCATGACATTAGGGTATAACTGGAAGGTGGAGGCAGCAGTTTCCTCCAGAAATAAGATGTACTGTTTCAGGTATACACAGTTATGATTGTTCTGACATAGGGAAGCCTTGCATTAATGTAGTAATCTCACAAAGTAAACACCTAGAAGTGAAATATCAGAGATTTTTAAAGTTGGCACTCATGCCCTTGTTAGTGGTTTCCAATGTCTTGGATGAACCAGCTGCCTTAATCTGTTACCATGAATATAGGGGCGAAATATACATGCACCAAAAATGTCAAATGATTTAAGTATATCTCAAAATGGCCATTGTTTTGAACAAACTTTCATAGCTGCAATACAGGACCAGAAGTCAAAGAAACAGACACAAAAATGGTAACACTTTACTATCCATGGCATGTTAGCGACCTTCTTGGATTTCCAAATATCCAGATTCTTCATGGCTCAAAGTAACAGTTTTGTATTGGGCTGTTAGGATAGTCAAAATGGCAAATATAGCAGGTAACTAACAGTGGACACTAAAGTGTATGTATCTTCATGGGTATATGTTTTATTTCTGGGCCCACACCTGACCCCATAATAATGTTCAAGATGTCGCAGAAGTGTCTCAAACAGTTTTGTTTCCAGTTGTTAGGTTAAGCAAGAAGACATGTGAAACATGTACTAAACAGTGGGCAACAAAGTTCTGCACACTTTGTGGCTAAATTTCATTAATTGGTGGTGTTTTACCATGTCTATGAAAACAGTAATGGCCAAAATACTGACTCGCCATTCTCCGAGTTGTTACGTCAAGAGTGTAAGTTATGGAATGGGGTAGGCTTTTCCTTATCTTGCAGGGGCTTATGAATGAATCATCATCTCGATAATTTGTAAATATGTGCTCTCCCAAAGCTAGTATCTTAATAATAAGCATAATTCTTCTCACATTAATTTAGCAAAGGAAAAATATTTAGGATTCTTGATTCTCACAGTTGTGGGTATGGAAAATACTATCCTCTGGAATATAAGGAATATAATGTAATCTGTTTAAAGACAACTGACATTCCGGAGGAACTTGTCACCTCCATCTTCAGGGTAGAAGGGCAAGCCAAGCAAGAAACCAACATGTAACACTCAGCTATGCTGATGTTGTGACTACAAAAATGGGCCAATCATCTAATGAACGGTGGAAACTTTCCCATGGTGTAAAACAGGCATTGATGTTAAACTGACCACTAGAAGAGATAGGTGGAAAATTCAAGTTATCATGCCTTTCGCAAATTAGGCTTTATTATGGTTCAGTATGGATGAAAATCTGAATCACGCGACAATTTTTTTGTGAAAGTCTGTCGTCAAATTTCACAAGATCTGCGAAACAATTTAAGGCATACATGTAAGTGTTCATTATGGCTGTAGGTAAATTAGGCTTCAGTATGCATAGATATGGCCAAAAACTAAACTGGCCATCAAATCCTGATGGTAGTCTTCCATGCAGAAATTGAACAACTTCAGTGAAACAGTTTATGGGATTCATTAAGCTCCTTTATGGCCTTATGTAAACTTGGTTTTGTTATGAATAAATATGGCTAAAAATCAGGATTGTTGGGCAACTTCCAGTGAACGTCTACTATTTGAAGAAAATATGTTCAACGATACGTACTCAGATATTTGGCCAGTATGTTGACAGGCAGATGTTCACATACTGCCTTTTTCTTTTTTTAATGCATCATTTATTGTATGCAGCAGGCTTTGTTATGTTCCCTTTTAAACTGGCGATTTTGTGAGAGCATTAAATTGCAGGAGTGGAGCAAAGTAGAAATAGCTTTTCAGAACTAGATAAACGCTCAGGAAGAGAATCAGATGCTCCAACATTAGCAGAAATTCCCAAGGGAATGACCACCATGTCTTGTAATGTAAATTGTTACAGCATGTTCCAAAATTATTTCCTACACGTATCATTGTTGGGAACAATGGTTATGATATCTTATGGCAGTGACAATAGCTCCTTTAAAGTAAGTCACTTTAAAACTTGCGGTCAGCATGTATCCTCATCTTCCCTTTTTTCAGCCATGAATATGAGTGTGCAAGGAAGAAGAAGAAGAAAGGAATGAAACATAAAATTTCGCTTTAGTAAAATATGATTTGGTGTAAGATGCGAATAAAATACTTCAAGAAGCCTACAGATGAAACTGAATCGCCTAATTGCACCAGGTCAGTCAGTCAATTGTAATAGCCTATGGTGAACTAATACGACTTTAACAACGACGCCTTGGAAATAATTCATTGGCGTTTTGGCGATCGTCAGGATAATTATCACACTATTTTCAACTGCCCTGACAGGTCAGTATCTCTCTTAGCTCGATTGCATCATTTTCTGCTGGTTCCTAATTAGTCACTTAACATGATCGGTAAGTGACCAAATTGACACTTATGTTAACATTTAAAACTCGAAATAAAGTCGACACTGTGTAAATATTATTTTCCATGTCTGTACCTGTGGTCCAACTTCTGACCATTCCCTAACCTACTGCTAAAGAGTATGTTGTGTAGCTAGATTGAGCTAGATAGGCTAGATCGCCTAGATGGCCTAGATATTTGTTATATTGTTTGTAATGCTCATTCCGGGGCCAGTCTCATGACTTCGTGTCATCGACTGCATAGACCGCATAGACTGTGTGTTTAGGTGTAGTCTGTGTGGAGAACTTACCGGTTAACGTTTATAAAGTGCTGGTTGTATGGTATCTGTGTTCGTCTGAGAAAAAGATGATACGTACAGGATTATTTGTTCTTTTTGTGGCATCTTGCAGTAGTGCATTTGTTCGGTTAGTTGTATTTTTCGGCTTATTACGCACTTTCTTATTATCATTAGTAGTAGTAAAAAAAAGTAAAGGTAAATTTGTTCCTTTGCTGTAATTAAGCACAACGCCATGGAGACGTATGGGGAAGTAGACGTACAGCTCCACCTTGACCTCAGCACTTGATGGAGGTGAATGGTTAGGTACATGCCCTGGCCGCCTTGCCCCGGAGGAAATCCCCCGACACCAGTTGGATGGGAGGCTGGGTAGTCCCCTAGAGCCGGTCTGTACGCTCTAGAGAAGAGAAAAATCTCTTGCCCCTGCCGGGAATCGAACCCCAGCCGTCTATTACGTCCCTATATATACCAAGCTGAGCCGTATTTACTACTACTACTACTACTACTACTACTACGTAATGAAGTTATATATAGTTGTGGTGGATTATTTTAAAGAGTGTTCATGTAGGGAATAAAGATGTCTTACAAATGCTTTCTTTGCGAATTTGTATTCATTTGTGGTCCCAGTGTTCATTTGCTGGAAATGTAGATAAATTTTAAAGAGGATATGAGACACCATGGAGTTTGGTAACATTTAGCTGACATTTTGGATGAACTTACTGTTTCCATCATCAGGGCTGAAGACAGAGCCAAGCATGCAGCAGCAAACTGCTTGTTACTTGAAGATAGTACTCTTCATAGGTGTTACTGTGATAACCCCAAGTCTCTCACAAATTACTTTTATTCATGCAGTCATATGCATTTTGTGCCAGACTCCTGTACAAAATTAAAGGATACAAATATGGAATGTGGAGCCAATATACAATTCTGCTGATAGGAACACGATAGTATAATATTAAGTCTTATTTTGCTTGTCTTATGCCAAGTTTAATAAGTTAGGTTTGGGCACCATGTAAGTACCAGTGCAGTCCAAAATTAAATATGGCCAACATCTTTGGAGTAGACTACCAATTCCTGTTTGTTTGGCAGTTGTTCGTTAGTATTGGAGATAAACATGGGGAGACAGATGGTAGCTGTGTTAAATAATTTAGACATCTGTATTTTAAAATAGTACTTTTATTGTAATGGAATTCCAAATTCAGTAATGCAGCCTGTTTGGTTGAAACTGTTAATTTTAGTAATGTTAAACTGAATGTAGAGACAGGTAAAGGTAAAAATGTAAAGTCCCTGTGCTTAACTGTTTAAGCACTATGCCATGAAGGCGTGTGGGGAGTGGATATATGGACCCACATTTTTTTTACCTTTGCACAAGTTGGAGGTGAGTAGTCAGCTTCATGCCCTGACAGCTTTACCCCCAGGGAAAGAGCCTCCAGTACCCATTGTATAGGAGGTTGGGTGGACCCCAGAGTCAGTCTAGATGACTTGGAGAAGAGAAAATACTTCACTCTGCAGGGACTCAAACTTCAACCCCTTGGTTGTCCAGCCCATAGCCAGTTGCTATACTAACTATGCTACTTTAGCCTGTAGAGACAGGTGTATGTGAAAATGCCTCTGACTTGATGCTGCCTACATTTATTTGAGGATTAATATATTCTGAAAAGTCCGTAAATTTAAAATTCTTCTGTTACTTCAGAAGTTTTAATACTGTCACATGAATACTGAATTTTCATTATTTTCCATGTAAGTAATACTAGTGTACAAACAGGATATAAAATCCCCAGTTATGAAGTTTATGTAGCCTTCTGCTCTCCATTATCTTACTTCAATATTTTTAACACAGATTCATTTACCCTGTAACTGGTATTGCAACTGAGGTACAGTTTACTTTGAATTTTGAAGACAAGAGGGAATGCATCACTGTCTTTGAAATTTTGATCTGAGAATCTGCATGGACTAGTGGAAAATATAAATATAAATGTGTTCGGTGGAGCAGTGCCATGAAGTTTTCTTTACCCAGACTTTGGCTCGACAATTTTCAGGATCATTCAGTTCTCTTAAATACTGAAATAATATTGTACACCATACTTTGCTGCAGAATTGTACAGAAGTGCCTGCTTTGTTTTATGTCGTTCAGGGATTAAAATTACAGAACAGTAGCACCTGTACTCACAAGATTATTTTTACTTGACCAAACCCACATCACACTCACTTTATCAGAACTCTGAACATAAGCATGGAAAGAAAATGAAAAATATTTTAACATATGCCTTACAAAAGAGTATTACACATGACATTATAATTTTGAAACCAAAATTACATTTAAGAACTCACAGGAAAAATAATTTACTGAATATTCTAATTTTGTTAAAGATAGCAGGACAAGAAAATTAAATTGATTTGTGTAAGTGTAGAAAAGAATCAATCTTGGCACAAAGAAGGAGACAAAAATGTCAGTTCTTATGATTGCCAGCATGATGGTGTGATTGCTATTGAGAACTGAAGTATGTAAAAATCATTATGTGCTTCAGGGTTATTGTAGACATTCTGAAGTGGGAACACTGTTTATACCAACACCAGTCATACCGTCCACTGACACAACTGTTTCTTCCTTACAGGAAGCATTTCACAGTTCACTATTCTCCTAATAACAGAAAACGATTACTTAGTAGTTTTTTCTCTGTAGCTGTAAAATCTGCCAAAGTTAAGCAGTTCAGTAAATTTTTAGCTTCTATAGTCTTTGTATCCTTTACTTTACAAACTTCTAGAATGAAAGACATTGCTTTCAAATGATGTACAGTTTTTTTTATCTGCCATACTATACTGATATTCAGCACTTAGATTAGATGGTGCTAATATATGTGAAGTTCAGATAGTTCAGTAAAGTGACCTAGGCACAGGCTGGGTGACTGGGATTCTAGATGCAGCAGGTTCATAGATTTTTCTCTTGGCTGCCATATCCAGATGAACTTTGAGCCCATTCAGTCTTCTTGTCTGTAAAGTACCCACTTTCATCTAATGTCAAGGTTATTAATACATGTAGCATTACATCCATGCCCTCTGTATGCTTGGTGCCAAGGCACAGGGAGAGCTTACCTGATTATAAACCAAGATACTTTTCTGCAGTAGACATTTATTTTCAATTTGAATATGTCCTGACTTGTTTCTCAAGAATTTAATCTGTATCATATCTGCCTTATCCAAATGGAGAGGAAGGTTTGTGAGATCACATTTCTATAAGGAAATAACATTCTCATATCTGAATTTGTCTTTAGTAACATCTCAACCAGTTGGCAGTTTCCTTAAAATAGTAAGAAGTCCTTGCCATTAGATGATGTTTACTCCATGTATTCCAAATAATGCCAGCCATGCATATTTTGAAGTGGGGGCAGTTATTTAGTGCTGAAGCTTGAAATTTTGCATGGTCTTACCTCTAGAAGAAGCAGTTTCAGTTACATTGCTGTTAGGAACTGCATCTTAGGACATACAGTTCACAAATACTCAGCTGAAAATGAAGAATGGACTGTTGATTCTTGTATTGTGAATCATCTTTCTTATAGATTACAAATAGTTACTTGACTCATGATGAATCAGCGGTTGCACTTCTTGCATATGCTTATTTGCTAGAAAATCATAGCTTTCATTCCTAAGGTTAAGGGGAAAAGAAAACATTTGATAAAATAATTTGTATAAAAATGTAAGGTAGGGAGATGTACGAACAATTAAAATTCAAACTTTTCAAGGTTTTTATATGTGTATTTCGTTAGGTTTTAGAGTTCAGTAGAAGGAACGTTTTCTTTCTTTTTCTTGGCAGTCCACGTGTTTATTGCCATTGTCAGACCATTACACAGAGTGAGAACTGAAATGTTATACATATGTATAGTGCAAGTACTCCTTGCTATATGCAAGGTCAAAAAATGCAGTTTCATTGTGTGGCACTTAACTAGTTAGGCTGATTTCAATTAATAGAACTCAATTTAAAGCCAACTGCTTGCTGGCCAAATGAGAGAGGGGGGGAAGGAGAAGATAGAAAGGGGAGTAAAGAGTTGTGTGATTGGCAGAGGAGGAATGCAAGGGGAGATGGTAAAATTTGGCTCAGCTGTGCAACCAGTTCTGTTCATTCTGGCCCTCTGGGTTAATAAGGAAACTTTAAGTACAGTATTCCCTTATGTTCAGTTTATGCAATTGTTACTTACTTAGCCATGCATAAAGATGAGGAATCAGAACCAGTCACATATGAAGAGGCACTGTCAAGCTCCGATAAATCTAAATGGGAAGAAGCCATTAAGAAGGAATTAAAGGCCTTTCAAATGAACAAAGCATGGACAATAGTGGATAGACCATCATATAAGCCAGTAGTGAAATCAAAATGGGTCTTCAAAATTAAACGAGATGCTGAAGGAAATGTCGCATGTCACAGAGCACGTTTAGTGGTGAAAGGTTGTAGCCAAACAGAAGGAATAGACTGTTTTGAAACTTCGCTCTCGTGGTGAAACATTCTTCAATGCGATTGTTATTTGCTTTAGCTGCAAAGCATGATTGGAACATGGACCACCTTGATGTCTGTACCGCATTTTTAAATGGAGATCTTGAAGAAGTTATATATATGGAGCTTCCTGAAGGATATGACATTAAGGCAGAGTCTAATAAAGTTTGCAAATTAAGAAAATCGGTTTACGGACTGAAACAAGCCACTAGGTCATGGAATAAGAAAGCAACAGAGGTCCGTGGATCGGAACCACGCTCTGCTACCATAACAATTTCACCATGTGTGGTTTTTGTTGTGGAACACAATTGTGGCATAAATTGTCTAGTAGTTATATTTTTATGTTGTCTTTAAAGGGATGGACTCATTTGCATGTAACATAAGATACAGTAGTGCCTAGTCATCATTTCAGTGCCTCTGAATCACCACTTCCATATTATCAATATATTATTGAGTCAGTCACTTTTTGTAACAAGTATTTTATTAATTGATTAATTTGTTTATGATAAACTGTAACCGTTCACTAGAATTGAGCTTACTATAAATTATGTTAATTAAGAACAGATAAATACAAGCTATAATTTGTAAGTAAAGAGTAATCAGTCACATTTTTGCATTCAGGAAGTGACATAAGCTCATTCTTGCTGTGTGGATATTGATATTCAGTGATGTCATTCCCACTATCTGTTCTTGTTTGTGCCCATGGAAGTACCATATAGCTTGAGAATAGGAAAGTTTTTCTCTAAACTTGCAGCTTGTACAGAGAAAAATTGGAGGAGACCCATGGTGAATGAACAGAATGTAATATTAAAACTTCTTGAAGGGATAATAATATTTGCAGTCCATCAGAAGCCATTTTCTAAATATGGAAGTGAACTAAAATTTGGAATAGAATGGTTATGTAGAGGGGAAGTCTATCTCAGTGTGAAATCTCTACTAGATTTCCAATATTAAAATTTAAAACTTCATTCTGTTACTCTCCATGTCAGCAGTTTCCAAACATACAAACATTTAATACAAAATTTGATGACAGTTTATTGTCTCACTACTGAACTTCAGTATCTCATATATTATCGTTTTCATGAACCCAAGAAGTACATCGGATTTTGAGTTCAAATACAAATTAGTTTAGTGTAAGTTGTTTAAGTCTGTTATTATTAAAAGTTTAAAGATATCATATAGAATAGGACCAGTATGGTTCTCACATCAGAAGTTGGCATGTGTGTTGTGTTGCAATTGATGAAGTGAGGAGCCTGTCCCAGTTTCAAATACCAGGAGCAGCTGCTTTGCCAGGCTTACTGCCTTGAATGCTTCCCAACCATATTTCTCCACACACACACACACACACCATTATTTATGCTGGCTATCATTGGCAGTATGATTGTGATGTCAGTCATATGTCAGTGAAAGTTAAGCAAAACAGTTTTTGATTGGACTTGGACGTTTGCACATTACGTAAGTTCCAAAAGAGTTTAATAACTGGCTGTAAGGAACAGAGCTTTTCTTGGGAAGTTGACAGTTATTTAGCTGGTCAAGAGATTCCTTATTTGGTATGGAACCTGAAGGCTTATCATATTTGTTAGAGCACACCAATGAACTCTGCCTTTCTTTTATGAACTCTCAGTATCTTAGACTGTATGGCTTCAAATGATAGGATGATTGGCAAGTAATGAATTGGAAAGGATTTGGAAGGAAGTAGTCATGGCCTGATTGAGATACTATCCGAGCATTTGCCTGAAGGGACTGAAGAAAGCCATGAGAAGCCTTGGTCACGATAACTGATGTCCTGACAAAATGAGGGACTGAGGACCTCCTCCAATACAAGTCTGTACTGCCACATCAGGGTACTAAGTAACTCTATCCCGAGTCAGTTGAATCTCATCCATACTCTCAACCTTATTTCTTCCCTTTGTAACATTTTGTAACACTAGTGTCTTGAGGCAACGGCTGTTGGTCCCTCAGCAAACTCCCAAGCTGGAGAACCAGAGTATTCCTGATGCTCTCTTTGAGACAGTGTATGTAACATATAAGTTAACAAATGAAGTACTTTAATTTTTAACATAGGATTCCACTGTATAAGTTCCAGTCCGCACGCAGAACTTTGCAGGAAGCCGGTACTGATGTGCATCAGTTTCGACTAACAGAAAATGTTAATGGTCCTACCCCAGAACCATTGTCAAACTATCTTGATGTAAGTTTCCTCTTAAATTAATTATATTTTGGTTATAATTTTGAAATGATTTGTATGAGTGAGTGAGTCACAGATATGTAGTGTTATGTGTCAGTTAAAGAAGTGGTGCAGTGCTGAATGTGATGTGGGGATGATTGTGAATTGTGAGTCTAAAGGTTATAGAAGGAGGCATGAATTTAAGATATGCATTTCCAGATCTAGTGATTTTGAAGGAAGAGCCAGATAAGGAACTCAGATAGCTCAGTCAGTATAGTGACTAGGATACAGATTTGGCAGTTGGGTTTGATTCCTGGCAGGGGCAAAGATATATTTCGTTGCCATTGTTTGTGTACTGCACAGTACTGTGCACATAATGTAATGTACAGCATGTTAGGTGTTACGATCCAGAATTGAAAGAACTAGATATTTCTTAATGTTGCATCATAGAAAGATGACAGTTATGCTGATTTGCTATGAGTGGTTCATAATGTAATGGGGACATTTTTATTTTTTAATTGTGCAGGGATGTTAGCATTGATGTCACAGAAGACAGTGTGTAAAAATAAAACCACATGTACTTTATTTTGCAGAAGAATTGCTTGGGTTGTGGAAGTCATGAGAGAGAGTAGACTAACATTAATGAAGACTCACAGATACTGTCATGGATTCGATTCCCAATGAAATAATTGGATTTTATAATTGACTTAATCCTTCCTGCTGCAGTATGGCCCTGGGGTCAACTCAGCCTCTAACAGAAATGAATACCAGGAATCTTCCTGGGGTTAAAGGGCAACTGGTGCATAAGGCTAACGTCACTGGCATTTATGAGCCAGTTGTCTGGAAAATGTGAGAGCCTTGATGTCTCACAACCCTAAGGGCTCCTTGTACAGGGATAGCTTTATTCCCCCCACCTTTAACCCTCCCATACTGTCAGGCCTTGGTGTTGTCTGGCTAAGTCACCAGCCATATTCTGTTACCCGCTTTAGTATATAAATGTTATCTATTACCTGATTGTATTCAAACAGACGCACAGCCGAGAATGGTGCATGGTTTTTGTCCTTGTTTTCTAGGCACAGTACTATGGGCCAATAAGTATTGGTGATCCACCTCAGAAGTTCCGAGTAGTGTTTGATACTGGTTCATCCAACTTATGGGTCCCATCTAAGAAGTGTCATTACACCAGCATAGCATGTTGTAAGTAACATAAGTAAACAGTTACACTTTATTAAAATGGTTGCTACTTTCTTTATACGTTTATATGTGGAAATTTTCTGAAACTGTCTGCACTAGCAACAACTGTATAAGAACTTGATTAATTTATAATGTTGGAAATGCAGGGGGTAAGGAGGTAGTGATTGAAAATTACCCAACTTTGAACTGAACGTCTTGTTTTATATGGTATGTATGTTTAGTAAAATGTAAAAGAACAAGAAGTTCTGAGAAAAGTTCAGAGCTTACCATGACCTTAACCCTTAATCAGAATGGTCACCAAAATATGTAGGTAAATTACAGAGCAACACACAACAACAGAAATTCGTCATTCCATAATACATGAAAGGAAAGAAGAAGAGAAAAACATAGTATGCACTGAATTATAATTGATCCCACCATAAACAGTGAACGTCGAACAATAAGAAAACAGCAAAATCCAGTAGACAGTGTGTAAGGGGATAACTCCAGTACATGTGTGATACTGCAATATCCAGCAAGATTTCCAACTTTATTTTGCAATCATAGGAATCAAAGAATAATAACTTTAACAATACCCACTGAGGTATTCGATGCAGCAGCCTACAGCAAAATTAGAAATGATCAACATGCTCCCTTTCTAGTCTTATAACATTTTAACCATTAACAAAATTCTTGAAACAGTTCCTCAAAAAAACTACATAACTACAAATTTTAAATTTAATTTAAACATTGGCCAGTAATTAGAAAAAAAAACAGTTGAGTGAAAATGAATGTACCATCAATGTGAGGATGGACAGTCAGGCCAAAATATCATGGAGCTGAATGAAAATAAGAAACAAAAGTATATAACTTGATTGATTACATACTAATGTTATTTTGACAGATTCCTAAGGTGTGCTTAATTGCTCTGTTAATTTATTCCATTTTATGTCTTGTGTTTTACCCACAGGAGTGAAGTTTAATATAGTCCAGTAAATACATTTAGACACATTCTCTGTTCAATAAGCCAGTAATTGAATTGTGCTTTAGTTTTGTACTTTAATTTGTGTCCAAATGTGAAGCCGAAAGTATGGTGAATGCTGAAGAAAGCAGTCTTCTGGGATATGGCACTGTGTAGATGTGGTGTTATCCGACGTTCTAGAGGAACGTATCGCACAAGCAGACTTCTTGTACCAGTTATCACGGTCTCTTCGCTGGCAGATTTTCTTATTTTTCCTTCTGCCCTGAAGATGGAGGTGATACGTTCCTCTGGAACGTCGGTTAACACCACATCTACACGGTGCCACATCCCAAAAGACTGCTTTCTTCATAGTCACTGCTGTGAAAACCTCAGATCTTACATGGTGAATACTGTTTTAGGGTACATATGAACTGCATATAAATGATATCAATTTTCTGAAAATCCACTTTTCGTGGACACTTTCACAATATGAATGTCATTTATACAGACTTTTTACTGATAGTAATGTTATATATTTTTATTTCAGTGTTGCATCGTAAGTATGACTCTACGAAGTCATCAACTTATGAGAAAAATGGGACTGCATTTGAAATCCAGTATGGCTCTGGCAGTCTTTCAGGATTCCTATCTACAGATGTTGTTAATGTAAGTGATTTTAAGTGACCAGTTTTTACTGCAGTAACTATACCTTTTGTTATGTATTACAGTAAAATAATGTGAACTCCCAGATATATGGTATCCAGGCATTAGGAACTGTCACATAACCAGCAGATACTTAAAAAGAAATTACCATTCTGTAAATTTATTTCAAAAAGAAAGCTGGAGCACACGTTAACCCACCACTAACAGCACATGCCTTGTTCATCACACAGTTGCCATTACAGATATAGTTATGTATGAGTACAGTAGATGTTAGTTGAATTTGTGATCATGATACAGGCTGTCCAAAATCTTTCATCTATCAATCTGCCCTTGTCTCCTATAGACCCATAAGTAAAGTAAAAGTAAAGGTATCCCTGTAACAGGCTGTGGAGGCCCATAGGGTTGTGAGATGCTGAGGCTCCCACATTTTCTAAACAATTGGCTCATAGATGGCAGAAAGGTTGTCAGCCCTACGTGCTGGCCACCCTTTACCCCCAAGAATATTCCAAGAATATTCCTGGTACTCATTTCTGTTAAAGGTTGAGTCAACCCCAGGGCCATAGTGCAGCTGGAAGGATTAGGTAAATTGAAAAAAATCCAATGACCTCATAGGGACTTGAACCCGTGACCTTAGGCTTGTACATAGCATAGTGCCTCAACCAACTACGCTACAAGAACTAAAACAAAAATGTGTTGATTTTGACTTTAAAATAGAAAATGTAAATATTAATGATGGGAAAAGTTTGAAAATCATGAAAATTGGATTCCATAGGAGTTTTCTCATACATCAGCATACCTAGTTCCCCGTATGTACTGGATAACGGGACATTTTCTGTGTCTCCTTTTTGTACATAGTATTTTTACATAGTAAGGACATATGACTTCCACATTTTTTATTTATGCATTTTTACGCTCATGTAACAAATTCTGTGTTGAAGTTAACCTTAAATTCTATAACAACATTCCAGATATCTAGCTTTTAGAATGCACACGTTCCTTCCATACACTTCCTATTTCAGTTTTAAAAATTGACACACATTCACATTGCAGAATGTGACTGTCATAGTCTTCTACTAATTATTTATTGATTGAAACCAGATCATAGATCTCACATTGTGTGCTGGTACATTGTCCAATTGAAAATGCATGTAACCCTTAATTCCATACAACAACTCAATCTCATCATGGTTTGGCACAAACAGAGATAATGCTCAAAGGACATGGAAATCAGCAGTGTACTTATTATGGCAGGATTCATAGAGTCTGTTCATGTTCATGTGTGACTGACGGCATGCCCACCACTGATTGGCAAAGTAGTTAGCATGAACAGATGCCATACTTATTGGATGAATATCACCATAGTTATGCTCTAAGGTCTGTGGCAGTAATTTGGGAGTTCATAATTGGCATTATGAAAGTTTTGTTTGTTACAGTATATTTTTCTTTTCCTTAAGATTTCCACTTCTGTAAAGATAATGCATCGGCTGTTATGCTGAGGCATGTGAAATTGAGCACTCTTATTCTAACTGCTGATATGACATGTCTTCATACAAAGACATATCTAAATCCATCTTGTAGTAAATCTGTGATCGTTAATCTGGGAAGAATTTTTAAACCCTACAATTCGGAGTTTTGAAATTATTACTCTTCTTTCCATAGGAGTGCTTGTTTCAAAGAGAAACATAATTATAAAGATGCTTTAATAAACATTTTGTGATTAAATAATCTTGTGTTAATAACTGTATATTTCTTCTATTCTTTATAGGTGGGAGGGCTTGTAGTGAAAAAGCAGACATTTGCAGAGGCTGTTAGTGAACCTGGTCTGGCCTTTGTTGCTGCAAAGTTTGATGGTATCTTGGGAATGGCATACAGCTCAATATCTGTGGATGGAGTCACTCCTGTGTTTTATAATTTGATCAAACAAGGACTTGTCCCAAAGTCTGTCTTCTCATTTTATCTTAGCAGGTATTTAAGCCTCACATATTTTGTATGTGAATAATCTGTGCATGCATGCACATGCACACTAGCATTATTATGTACTGTCCTACCAGTTAAAGATTAAAAAGCAATAATTATTTGGAATAATCTTCTATAGCCAGTGGTCCCCTTGTGCAAGTTTCAGTAAGCACCATTACATGGACAAGATGTGCACTGCTTATACATCGACAAAGTACTGAGATAATTGGTTTCTTATCAGAATTATGGCTGAATGTTTGAGGTTACAGAAAGTTCTCTAATGTAAATATAGATAACTTTTATCTACATACATATACAAGTTATTTTAGTAATTAATCATTTCAAAGTTATGTCACACTGTTTTCTTATTTATGTTAGGATGTTCCACTTCCTTCAGCCAGTTTTAAGTAATTCATGTAGCTGAGACTTTCAGAAGCTAATAATCATGCATCTAGTTTAGATATTCCCTGCATTTTGTGAAACTTGAAGGCTTGTTACCATGATCACAAGTTTCTGCAACCGGCCCCTATCCAGAGTCACATGAAGCAAGTCCACATCATGACATGTGATTCCTTATGATCATTTTCATATTGTGTTCTGCTGGGTTATGATGCCATGTTGTAGTCTAATAGGTGTGTATCAAAGTGTCAGGGGAACATACTGCTTCCATCTTAAAGAAAACCTCAAATCTTATAAACAAACAACATTTGATCCTTGTTTGTCGTTAAGAGATTTTGGTGGAATTTTACACTGGAAATTTCCCTTTTGAATTTTAATTTATGTTTTATTATATTGGCAGTTGTGAATAAGTGCTGTAATTTATGCTTTTTAAAATGTATTAATGAGTGGTAATACTTATGGACAGTGTTGACTGATCAGGCTGTCATCCCCTTTTCACCCTTTAACGTTGTCTTTTTTTGGGGGGGGGGGAAATAACTGGTTAAGAAAGGCAGCCCATGATTTGTTTTTAGTTAATAGTTTTTAAGGCATGAAATGGACATGCTTGATGGATTTTTTGCATTCTTGTTGCGGCAGTAGGGACAGCACTTACGAATAAAAAAAATGTATTATTGGACAGGATTCAAGGACAGATATAGTCATTTTATTTCGTAATGAACAGTTACAGGGTATTATCAGAATCATGATAAAGAGGTGTTTTATTAACATTTTGAATGGACATGTATCCAGAAGTAGACCTGTTACTGGAACGAGAGGTATGGTAGTGGTGGTGATGTATATTATTCACTGAGGCAGATGCTATCAATGAAGTGGTGTCAGCACACTGTAATGCATTGGAGAGTATGATTGTACATAACTAGCAAAAGTGTTCTTAAAAATCTGTGGCTCTAGTCCGCAAGCAACTTACACTGACCGAGTGATCGCTGCTTGTCGGCGAAGTTAGTGCCAACTTTAGCTGATAGAGGGTGTTCCGTGGTTAGCGCAGTGAATCCCCATGGCCGTTATTTTCGGTTTTCTATACCGGAGCTGCTATTTTCTTGAAATAGCTCCTCATTTATCCCCACAATGCCGAGTGGATCCCGTTCCAGACCCACTACTTCTCAAAACATCTGGTAGCACCAGGAATTGAACCCGGAACCTCTGGGTATGTAGCCAGGAACTCTGACCACTAGACCACACCAGAGGTTTATCAGACACTGCAAGAAAAAGTGGCGG